TGTTCACTCCTGGCCTTGCTTGGTGGGTGTGCTGGTTTGAAAACAAATCAGTGAGAGACGCCAAGGCAGAAATACGATTTAATAGGAGAAAACAAAACAATAAATGCAAGAGTGCAAAAAGAAACCACTGACAGAGTCAGAAAACAACCTGCCACCCTGTCAGTAAGGTGCTGGTAGTAGTCCGATGAAATGGTGGCTGCAGTCCTGGAGTGATGGAGCAGTGATGTGGTAGATCTGGTCTTCACCCGAAGGTCCAGCGGCAGCTCTTGTCCTCTGGGAATCCAACAGGCAGAGGGCTCTGTGCTGCTCCAAACCCAGTTTATATCCAGGGGGGAATGCTTGGCTTCCCCCCCATGTGGGAATCTTTGGCTCCCCCCCGGGGTGAAGCATCTCCCAGTGGGACGATGTAACTCTCTGGGTTATGCCTGGGTCCCTGACAGCCCATTAAACAGAGACAGCCCCTGAGGGAGCCAGCAGGGATGATAATGAACACTGCCCCACCCACTTTAACAGCTTGTGGAGACCACAATAGAATATATACCATTGGTTACCCCCTACATTGTAACCCAGGGCAGTGGGACACACAGATGTTAGCCTGTTCAGCAGAAATGTACTTGAAATCATGTTTGTTTTAAAGTTGGGCTCTCTAAGTCAGCTCGGAGTGGTATGTGCTGCTGGTGGTTTAGCACTTAGTTGGCCTTAGGTGTCTGACAGTGTTGTTCTCTGGGCAATGCTCAGCACACCCAGACCTGGGAAGAGCAGAGTCATACACCACAAACTGGCTAGAGAGCCTTTGTCTTCCTGGTAGTTACTTGGATCTGTTAAACAGAAACTCAGAAACATGAGTTTCACTTCAATGCAGGAGATGCTCACATACCTAGAAGAGCCAAGCCTATATTCTAGATATTCATCTTAAAAGTTGAAACAATTGCACTCAGAATAAAGCCTGTAAAGAATGACTGTCCAACTTCTGTCCAAAGTTATGTTGAAAAGAAAAAATGTGATCTCCTAGGTATTTTTTTTCTTGTGAACTGTAAGCATTTCAGATATCTCTAATGCTTTTTTTTTTTGCAGATTAATAAACTTACTGAAGCATTGTTACGGAGCTAGAGTGGGAGTGAAAGGAGTTTTAATTATTTACTTCCAGTTGGGTATTCTGAATGTGGAAACTTGGGGTTATTCTGGGTCTTGTTTTTGAAATTGTATGCATTCAGCTGGTCACAAGAAACAGGAGTTAATCGTGGTGTCTGAGCATTTCCTCAATATTGTTCTCACTTCATGTTAGCTTTTTCCTGTAAGTTACTTTAATTTAGTCTGTGAGTTTTAATAAATATTTTGACTGTAATACATAATTTGGATTCTGTAGCTCTTCTTTTTCTTGTCCAGCTTGAACTAGCCCTGCAGGACTGTGGTATGCTTATGCAAGTCATTGGTATGAAAAGTTATTTTTTTATCTCCTCTGTAATCTAAGAATTGTATAACTATTCATGTGGTGCTTATTTTTAAAACTTTGACATTTTCTCCAGGTTTAAGTTTGTTTTATCATACCAGCTCTTCACTGCCATAATGAGGCTAGTAATCCTTGAAGATTATGATCAGGCTAGTGAATGGGCAGCAAAGTACATCTGTAATCGTATTATCCAGTTCAAGCCAAGTCAAGGAAGATATTTCACTCTTGGTCTACCAACAGGCAAGTTTGACTCCAAGTCTATGTAAATAACTAAACCTGGAACATTGTTTGTACCATTGCTATCAGATACAGTGTTTAAAAGAACCTCAGCATTATTTTTGGTAATACTGCAACGTGTTTCTTTGAAAATATGGATTTGATTTGTGTGAGAAGTTGTGATAGTCTGAGAAGCTGAGAAATGCTAAATGAGAAATAAGCTTGCTTTTATGTTGAAAAGCATTGTAACCAAATGTGACTGTGAAGAGATGTAAATACTCTGAAAATGTTGTGCAGATAGAACAGCAGAAAAACTTTATTTGACAGGGAGTACACCTTTGGGATGCTACAAAAAGCTGATTGAATATCACAAAAACGGAGATCTCTCATTCAAATATGTAAAGACTTTCAACATGGATGAGTATGTAGGTAAGATGCTCTATTATTTGAGAATACAGTGTACTGTTACTTCTTGTGCCTTGTAAAAAGTATTAAATACTTTGTCAAAGAACAAGGTCAGTCTAGTATGTTTGTACTACTCTGCTAGACTTCTGTCCATGGGTTATCTTAAGCATTTTTCTCTATTCCTTTATCTACAAAAATGGGAAAATAAAAGGTGGATCCTGGGCTAAATTCAGTGCTTCACAATACTTCCATGGAAAGGACATTGCCACATAACATTGTGACTGCCTTTGTGTTGAAGACTTTACACTCTTTGTGATAAGGTGTATGTCAAGGGAATGTAAACCTGTTACCTTGTGCATGCCAACAGGAAACCTTTCTTCTCAATGGAATTTCAAACCTTGCTTTAGCTGACTCAGTTAGGTTTGTCTTGCATGTCCTACGTCGGTTACACATAGACTGGAATTAAGGCTGCTTGGTTAAATCTTGGCATTTGTTAACCTCACTCTAAATGATTTCAGGGCTTCCCAGAAATCATCCAGAGAGCTATCATTCCTATATGTGGAATAACTTCTTTAAGCACATTGACATAGATCCAAATAATGCTCATATCCTTGATGGGAATGCTCCAGACTTACAGGCGGAGTGTGATGCCTTTGAAAAGAAAATTGAAGAAGCAGGGGGCATTGATCTGTTTGTTGGAGGTAGGAGGAAATGCTCTATGGTTAGCTGCTATTCAAGCATATACACTGGTTCTTTAATCACTGTTTTCATAACTTGGCTAAGCCCATTTTTTTCAATTACAGTGTAAGAAAGTTCTGTGACTTACAAAGAATCAGTGTGAATACCAAAACAGAACAGTTGGTGTCCAAGTTTCTAATGACTGACTTAAGTGTTGAATGTTTTTTTTTTAATTGAAAATGGGGGAACCAAAAGGAAAGAACGAGTCTTAAAATTTTTTCATTCATTTATGATGTTTGAGGATATCTGTTGACTCTCAGGTCTGGAATGATTTACTGTTTTTAACTTTGAAAAGGCATTGGTCCAGATGGCCACATTGCATTCAATGAACCCGGATCGAGTTTGTCTTCAAGAACAAGATTAAAGACTTTAGCAATGGACACCATTTTGGCAAATGCTAAATACTTTGATGGAGACTTATCTAAAGTACCAACTATGGCGCTAACAGTTGGTGTGGGTACAGTGATGGATGCTAGAGAAGTAAGAACTCATTTAGTTCTAGTTGCATGTCTGTTTTCAAGACTCGTTGGTATTGATACTGGGATGGAAAGTAAAGAGACCTTTGTTTTGCAGGTGATGATTCTTATAACAGGTGCACATAAGGCTTTTGCCCTGTACAAAGCCATTGAAGAAGGAGTCAATCATATGTGGACAGTGTCTGCTTTCCAGCAACACCCTCGCACTATTTTTGTGTGTGATGAAGATGCTACTTTAGAGCTAAGAGTTAAAACTGTGAAGTACTTTAAAGGTGAGCACTGAATTGGAGGTTACATGTATTTAAAAAAACCCAAACTCATAGATTTCAAATTATGCTGATTTAAGTCTGAGCCTTCCAACACTTTACAGTAGCTGATGTATTATGTTATATATTCAAAATACTAAATGTTAACTTATTTCTTGTGTATGGAACATTGCTAGGAGGCATAACTTGTGTTACTTACATTCCTGACAAATCTACTTCGGAAAAATAGTTCCTTTACTTCCATTCTGAAGTGATAGTAATCTTCAGCTTCCAGCAGCAGCAGTCTGGTGTTGCAGAACACAGGTCTTATGTATCCTGGATAGTTTCACTTAAAGAAAACTCAGTACATTTATTAATCCTGATATATTTTCATGCTTCTTTTCTATGTGCTGTAGTGTGGTGTCTAGTAAGCTAGAAATGTGTAATACAACTTTTGAAGCCACCTGAGGACATTTTTCATACAGTGCAATTAGCATCACAATCTATACTGACTTTGAATACATTGCACTCTTTTACTGAGCTTTTCATATTCATAGCAGGGTATATTGGTGCAAACTAAAAGTAAGTCAGGATATTTGATAGTCATTGAGATTTCCTAATCTGAATTCTGTTTCACTGAGACTGTAGAAGCTGAGAAAAGTAGTTTTCTCCTGACCACATTAGCACAGCACTTGCAGTTGTGTGAACAAGTTGCCTTTCTCACTAGCATTATACCTGTAGTAGCTGAGGTATCAGAGATCAAGATTGTAACTTAGGGAATTATATTTTTAGAGCATTATATCACCAGTGCTCACGTGTGTATTAGAATGCAGTTCAAACATTACTGTGATTTTTACCCTGATATGCTTGTGGCCAGCTTGTTAATTTTGGATTTTTTTCACTATGCTGTTATCTGCTATGTATCTGAGGGAGTGGGGGCTAGTCTTTACCTGTATCACACTGGTAGATAGTACTTATTGTTGTTTTCAAAGATAAACTTCCTTAACTGCTTGGAGAAATTTTAAACTTTATCCTGTATTTCATATAAGCAGAGGCTTTGTTTGGGAAAGATAAACCTAATGTAGAATTACTAGGTATGAATGATACTGAATATTGCTTTTAAAACATCAAGGGCTACAGTCTATGAGTGTGTGCTATTGTGTCACACTGTATTTAGTTACCCTATTATACACAGCAATAGAATTCTTAAAAAGATTGTTTACTTTCAACTTGCTTAATTTTATCTACTCTCAGATCAGTGAGATTTTTCCCCTTATAGGATGGAGGAGAAATCCATTGGGTCAAATTTGGAATTAATTCTGAATCTTGATCATCAGGTTAGACTTCTTGGGGAAGCTAGGTACTTCTCAATACTGCTGAATATGGTAGTGATTTACTGGATTTTTTCACCTCTTACAAAATCTTAAGGTACTATATGAAACTGCACCTTTTTTTTTTTTTTTTTTTTTTTGATAACCAAGTACCATGCTGGTTGGTAAATAGAATAACTTACTCTATTTTTCTTTCTAACTTTCTGAAAACCTATTATAGATTAGAATTATCAAGTGTACTTAAATGTTCTTACTGTAAAAGGGAAAGTAACTTTCTTGAAGAATGAAACAGAAAATGAATTTTACATTTACTATTTGTCTGTAGATAAGTTAGATCAGGATAGTTTTTTCCATACTTGTGCATGCTCCTCTAAAAACTGTGTAGATATCTGTTTATTCCAAGCATACTTGAATCTACAGTAGGACTTTGCTTTGGAATAACTGTTTTGGCATCTATCAAGTCTGGTGCATACCTTTAAAAAAACCCTTTTGTTCCTCACTGTTTTCCTGAAACAATTTCACTAACAGGATTGAAATATCCTTCATTAAGTATGGCAGAGACAATACTTTGTAGGCATTTTTCATGTGACTAGGAAGTGGGTAATTATCTCCTTTTCACTTCCCCTTTTTAGAAGATACAAACACTGGTAGGAAATGCTTTAAAACTCAAAACATATTTCTAGTTTGAGCAGTGTGTGCAGTGTTACTCTTTCAGTACAAATGGATTTTGTATCACATGTAGACTTAATTTTTCTCACTGTTAAACTGAAAAATACAGACTTGCTCTAACATCTGCACTTTATATTAAATAATCATACAATGATTACTAATAGATGCTGCATGAAATGCTTTCTGTTGTGGTCACCTGCAGTAAGTAGTGACATTAGATTGTTTTGTTACTCAAATCTCATGTTGCTGCAGGGACATGATGGTTGCCACTAGATGCATAGTGTGGCAATTTGAATATTCTTTGCCATAATCACTAGAATATGCACTACTGCCAGATGTCTTTCATGTTTTTTAAGAAAATTACTTTCAATGTTGCATATTTTAATAGAAGTTAATCTTGAGTTTGATGCTAAAATGGACTTTTACTTTGCAGATTGTGAACACTGAGCAATTACTGTAATTAGCCCTTAAGGTGAAATGAGGTAAAAAACCTGCCAGTGACCCAATGTCATACACACCTAGATGTAGGTAACATTTTTACTAAGTTCTGACAAAGTGAAGAGAGACACCTATTTTTTGTTCATTGCTCTTCAGCATTTTCCAGAATTAAATAGCTGATTAGGGGGAAAAATAAGACCCCCCTAATCATAGCTACAGATGTATGTGACAAAAAGCCCAGCTACAACAGGAAAGAGTTGAACTACTAAAATTCTGCATCTGCTTTAACAGTCTGGATAGTTTTAGTTTGCTTTTGCCTGTCTAGATCCACAGGTACACTATTAATTACAAAACAGTAATAGGACAATGCTGGAACATTGCAATTCAGGAATTGAAGCTGTAAAAGTGTCACTATATGCACATAGGATTTTTATGACAAATAGTGGTGTGAGGGAAATGTGTTGCTGTTAAGCAGTTTTTAATACAGAAGATGTATTCAGTTCATTTGGAAGTGTCCCAGATCTGCTCTTTGGCTCTGTTACCAGGGAACTCTCTGATCCCTGCTCAGAGAGATGTGAAGATGTCATTAGTGTGCAAATGACAGAGGAATATATCTGCTATTTCTGATTTTAAACTGCTTCCAGTAGCCAGTGTTGTTCTCTTCAGTGAACTGTTTGAAATGAATACTTTGAAGCAAACTCCAAATAAAAATGTGGCTAGAGAAGGACATGTTGAGAAAGTATAACTAATGTAAAGCTGGCATTGTTGCTTTCCCCCCAAGGTTTAATGCATGTGCACAATAAGCTTGTGGACCCACTGTACAGTATGAAAGAAAACTGAAAGAAGAATTGAAGAGGAACTCCATGTGGGTCAGCAGCAACTGTTTTAGGTAGCAGATGAGTTCACTGCTATGCAATATGCTGAAAACCGTTTAAAGTGGGGAATCCTAGGTACTGTATTTTTTAAAGGTCCAATATCTGTACATCCACATTCCATCTGTTTGCTGTGTTGTGCATTTTGCTTTAACACTTGGAGCTCTGCTGTGGGCTGGGACATCACTAAGTGGAAGAGAACAAACCTGGGAGAGTCTGCATGTCATGTACAGAAGGGAGAACAGAGCACTTCCTCTAGCATCTGCCTCGTGTTGGAGAAGATACTTTACTTCCAGGACTTTGTACCTTTTGGCTTGATAAGTGTAACTGCATTTTGCATTTGTGTTTCTAGGCAGAATGGTTTTGGCCTTTGTCAATACTATGGACTTGTAATAGTTGTACAATTTCTACTATGAAATGTTCTGTTTACATATATCTAATGTACACTGAGCTTTTGCACTTGGTTGCCTTAAATTTATCTTAAACAGTTTTTGGGCATCTCAAGTCCTGCTGTATAGTTCAGGCAAATGGAAATACGAAAACAGTGCCTAAAAATGCACCAAATTCTTGAAAGTTATAACTTTCCTCCATGGATAAAAATATTAAACTTCTGCCATAGCACTTTTTCCTCTCATGTATTTCAAATTACTTTAGGATTTTTATATTTTTGGTAATCAAGCTTTATAGATAAGGAAGAATCTAAATGTTCCTTTCTGGAGGTACCTGTTCAATCATATTATTGATGTTACTATTAAGGGCCTGAAAAGAGGTTAATTTACAGGAATATAATGTCTGCAAATTTAATACATGATCATTTAAAGCCAACTGTTAATCACTTTGCAATAGTTACCTCTCATTGTATCATGATAAACATTGAGCTGTTACAAGGAATGTTATTTCCTACTTTGAATATAAGTAAAACTTAAAATATAAATCTCTAATTTCAAAATTGTTTCATTTCTAGTATAACTTGTGATCAGTAAATACTTCAGGATTTCAGGGAGAAATTAGGCACCAAAGGAGGAAAATTAAGAAGGATTTACTGATTTAGACTTTCTGTGGGGAGGAGGGAGCAGTGGGATCATGTCCTGGTGCAAAATACTGAGATAAAGTGCAACAAAGTGGAAGTTGAATAGTTTAACTTTTCACCTAGAGGACAGGGAGGTAGCCTTTATCACAAATCACATTAGCTCCCCAGGGCTGTGATAGAGTCTCATCAAGTCTAACTTTTCTCCTAAAGGGTTGGACCAGATGGGCTTTTAAGATCCCCTCAAACCTGGGCCCTTTATGATTCTGTGAAATTACAAAAGCATGGAAGAGTCTGTCTAGACAAAAACTTACAATTTCTCTGGAGATGAGCATAGCTAGATCTACTAATGGTAAACTTAAACACTTATTTTAAACAGTGTGGTGCATTAAAAAAAAATTTGTTGGTTTTTTTTTTATGTGATTTCCCAGCATCATGATGATTTCCTGACAGCAGCAACCCTTTGACAAGTAAAGCAGGAAGCAGCTTTATATTTTTGTGGAAACAGTTCAAACTTTAAAAGAAGAAAAACCAAACCAACACAGCATTGTCTATACATACCTTTCAATTTTTATAAGCTTTTTGCCATATGGCTCCTGCTCTGTCACACAAAGACTTGCAATGCAAAAATAAAATATAATCGTGTTACTTTTTAAAAGTATGAAAACAGTGAAATACAATGAAAAACAATACAATGAAAACTTTTGGATTCAGTCAAGTCAAATAACTTTAATTTCATATTAGCCTACAAGGATCTGTACACTTTAATTGTGCAGTCCTTTCAATTCATCCTCCCACATATATTTAATTTACACCATTTAAAGTCAAGTCTGTTCCCTCCACAGTGATACATCACACAGTAGCTCGTTATGCCTCTGCAGGAGGTTGAGAGAATGATCAGCTGAGTCTCTATTTGTCAGGTCCTCTCTTTAAAACACGTATAAAGGCATCTCTTGGTACATCCACATTGCCAATTTTTCTCATCAACCTCTTGCCTTCTGCCTGCCTCTTTAAAAGCTTCATTCTTCTTGTAATGTCTCCACCATACTGTGAGAAGGAAAAATATTTTAGTAACCTTAAATGCAACCACAAACACTAAACTCAGGGGCTCAAGAATAGTCAGAAAGGCTGGTTTAATATATATAAGAAGAATTCTGTGACAGCTGTAAGAAAGGGACACTTGTTTAATCTTTTCCAGCATGTTTGCCTCAGAGAGCTAAATGCAAGAGGCATCACATTTTTAAATATAGCTTCGTTGAGTCTTGGCAATACTCAGCTATTACATATTTAAGGCCTTATCACAATGTGTTACCTAAGTAAAAGTCTAACCACAATCAAGTCTCTAAATAAGCTTGTTTATACCTTCTTGAGTCACCTAAAAAACCCCAATTAATGGAACATAGGATGTGTACACACACACTCTGCATGTCTACAACTGCTAGAAGATGGTGAGGGAACAGGAGTGAACTCAGACATGCTGTTGAGTTTAAGCGTGTAACTTTGAAAAAGCCATTGCTTTTTCTGATTCACTCTTACTGCAAGCTGCAGCAGTTGAATTTTAGAGTGAAAGCTTTAAAGTATCTGTTAAAATTCCACTGACGAGCACAAGCAGAAGATGTCTTTGCTGAGTTTCTAGGAAAAGCTAGGCCTATCACCTTAGCAGGATTCTTATGTATACAAAGATCAGAAACATAAAAAAAAAAAAAGAAGAGGAAAAAAATACTTACACATTTGGCCACAACATTTTTTCTGTAAGGTTTCAGCCTGTAAAATAACATATATACTTTAAATACATTAGAACATCTATATATGTGAAGCTAAATACTGAGCTGTCAAAATGCTCATTGTTGTTTTTCTACTAGTTTTTTAAGAAGGATTGGAATCACAACATTTTCACATTTTGTATACAAAAGACAAAGTTTTTACCAGAGGATGTAATTCACAGTTCTCAATTCTAGAAATATCCCTTAGGGTGTATAATATGTACATAAAAAGTAGGATCTTGCCTTTTTATCTAGGATTTCTGCTATGATTCACAGGAAGTGGCACATCCATGTGGATATAGATGTACACACAAATTCTTACAGCACCTCTGTCTGAATTCCTACTTTTAATTATTTCACCACACTTTCAATCCTATGTAAACAGCAACAGAAAAATGGGATGAGAAACTCACATCAAGGAAATGGTTTGCTCTAAAGTTAGTGCTGCTGAAAAAAAAGTTGTGTGTTCAGCTTGACACGTATTTCCTTTGCAATAGCACACTTCAGTCCTTTTTTTGCTGACTCTCCCAGAGACTAAACGATTCCAGAACTAGCTACATTTTTTTTTCAGTAGCAAGTAACTTTTTCAAGTGCCAAAAAGGAAGTAGACACATGGGTGTTACAAGCTGTACTTTACCCAGTAAGTGCAATGCTGACCACAAGCAATTTAAAATAAAAATACAATTTCTTTCTATAAATCTAATTGAAAGTCTTTAGTCATAGTCACAGCTTAAATGTGTGTGTTTTTTGTCCTTCCCAAGATGACTGGCAGGATATAAAAGGAAAATACAATTTTACAGTAAAATTGCTTTAATGTATAATACTAGATAAGATATTAAAAGCCTGTATTTTACATAGCTTAAAATATGAAAGGGGGAAAAAAAAAAGGGAACAGAAGGGCTTAACTTACGTTTCTCTTGCAATGATTTTCTTGCCAATTGCAGCCTGGATGGCTATTTCAAACAACTGTCTGGGTATAGCCTCCTTTAAACGTTCACACAGGACTTTACCAGTAGCATATGCCTTATCACTGAAAAAGAAAGTCACCAGTGTTTTCAGAAAGAGTAATGCAACACCAAAAATACATCCACAGACCTAACGGTTTGATAAAAAGGATTTTAGTATTTTCCTCTTTTTAACCCAAAATGTAATTTTACATCTAATAAGTGGTCTCTTTATGGCACCTGTTTCATACTAACAGGTGCTAAGGTTGTATTAGCAGCAGGTCTTAAAATAGATTTAAAATATTTATAATAAACACCATAATTATCCATCACACTGAAGACATTTTGAATACTGTCACAGTTTCAAATGAAATTTGAATAGGAAGGCTTATTCCTTTGGAACAAGGAATCCAGTCAACCTACTTGTGTATGATAGTTGCCAGTTCTTCAACTGGATTTCCATTTAGAAGAATATCCATTTTGATTAGGTCTGCTGCTTGGTATCCTGCATCTTCATAATCAAAACTAGAAAAAAGTCAGTTCAAAAGTTAGGGATGATATTGTGAAAATTATATTCTGCATTCTCTGATTCATAGATTTTAAATTATGGACACATTTCTTAATTAAACACTTGAACTTTTTAATAAAATGGGAGTAAACTTTATTATATTATTTTAGTATGTCTCCCTAAGGCAAGACCAGCCTAGAAATGCACTGCATATAAACCTCCCCATGTCATCCTAACTTCTGGGATGTCTTTCCAAACTACTGAGCAAGGTAAATCAATCAGAAATCTACATGCTTAATGCAATCTCTTAAAGAGTTTATTCAAACACTTATTTTCTATCAGCTGGAGGTTCCTTCAAGCTCCAGGAAACAGAACCCTCCAACACAACTTTTGAACAGTCAATGTCCTGGATGTCACAGAAATCAAACACTAACCCTGGATTATTTTCTTTTCATCCTTATTTGACAGACTTTTTATATGACCCCTATTATCATTCTCTCTGACAACTAAGTTTCCCTCTTAATTTCCAAACCATATTTCTCCTTTGGTAGGTATGGGCCTTGCTGTCTGTGTGTCAGTTAGCAAAAATTCTTAAACTGCAAGAGATGCAGAGCTAATGTATGCAAGATATCGGGATGGATGGATGGATAGACATTAGATAGATGAGATCTTGTGTGTAAATATAAATATGGAAGATCATCAATACCATTATTTTGGTCAAATATGAAATACCAGAACAGAGGGGAAAAAATCCCTTATTTCGAAGTACTTCTATTTTAGCTGGTTTAATAAACCACAGCTGTGTGAACAGATTTATGGAACAGGAGTATGGTTACTGAGAGCATAATTCTGCTAACAAGATAGCTTTTTGATAAACAGGCTGGGTTTCTGTAGGTGGGCAGCTAGATGAAAATGCCCACTGTCACTTCAGACAAGTAAGGACCATCTGAGTCTTACTCATTATAGATGAGCCAGTACTTCTCCAGAGGGAGCACTTGAAAAACATGTCACCAAGGACTATTACTATTTGATAGTGAGGCACTTTTAATGTTTTTCAGACTTACTCCCATCCATTTTTGCAGTGAATTAATCCGTTGAGGGTGAAGAGAGACTAGGTTTGTAGCACCATCATGAACCTTACATAGCTGTTCCTCTTTTGTCACCATGCTCCATGTCAGGGTGCAGGGGTGCAATGTGAAGGGGGAACAGGGGAGGGAGTTTACCTTGCATAGCCAGAAGACAGAGACTTCAGAGCATCATAAAAATCCACCACGATTTCATTCAGTGGAAAGAGGTATTTCAGCATAACCCTGTTTTCATCAATGTACAACATATCCTTCTGGACTGCCCTACGATCCTAGACAAATCAAAATTGGTATAGTTCACTTAAAAGTCTGAGGTGAAGAGCCTAAAAATGCAAATGACAAAACTATAACTATGTACCAACCTGACACAAAGTAATTATTCTCCCAATATATTCATGAGGTGTTACAATAGTACCAAGAACAGTTGGCTCCAAATATTCTGACACTGAAAGTTTATCAGGAAACTGAGCAGGGTTGATAATAGTAATCTCTTCTTTTCCATACTCCTGGAAACAAAGGAATAAATCAGATAGCAAGTAGACTGAATAGCAAAGGAGACAAATACAGCATTGAAAAAGTGCTAAAAATTGTCTGAAAACA